GTATGCCGAGAAATGCATTGTACGAACTGCCACAGAAAAGGACACATTATCCATTACTGCAGGGCACCGGCTCAACCGATCTCCTAAGTCCCCGGAGCTGAAGAAAACCAAGCCTGCTATGGCTGTGGTGAGACTGGACACCGTCAGAAGAACTGCCTGATAATCTGGAACTCAGGCGCGGATGGATGCATTCTGATGATCACCGCAGGAAAATCTACCCCGGATTCGTCGATGAGTAGTGGTATGTTTTGATAATGGTAATTTCTTTTAAAATTAATATTAGATATATATAAGATTAAAAGTTGGGGATAAACACTTAAAAGTAACAATAACAACTCACACTAAAAGATCCCTTAGAGAAGCTATTATGGCTCACCATATTCATCAGGGTTGTGCGCAACTGAGAGATTGCAGACATAGAGTGAGTGACTCTGCTTAGGTCTCCTTCCTTAATTGGTTGAGGATTTGAGGCAGAGATGCTCAGTCGACTGCCTTGCTCATCTTAAGTATTCGCAACTTGTATATGATGGGCGATGGTAGTGGTACCATGGGGGATCATGGTATAAAAGTATCCCTTCAGTAAGTAAAGCACTTTTATTTGTATGTATGCGCACATAGCGGTACGATACATAGGAGTGCTAATTTCAAAATAGAAAAAAAGAAACATGAGAACAGTTACAAGGAGTACATTGTTGGACATACTAGGAGTACAGTACAAATCATACCAGGGATACATCGTTGTATATCAGACGTTTCTTTCATTTGACCAAAAACTTTGTTCAGTATAGAGTCCGTTGTTTTCTATCTTCATGAGTTGGCGTGGTCCCCACCATACTGAGTTCATATGTTTTTATCGCCTCGATCGGCAAGTTCTCGAAACTTTCATCATTCGTATCGAAAGTCCGACGAGAATCAAAAATTTTATCTTTCGCATTCTAAACCCCCGCAGTACTCGTGCGAAGAGTACCTTGTCCTCTGAAGCCTTATCGTCAGACGTCCGCAGACTGTCATGAAATGCCACTCGTCCAGCAGACCAATGTTCGAGCAAAGAGGCTAAGGTCGAATACAGCCCGCCTATTATTATTTAGGTTATACGCGAGGGTGGTATATGAGTATGATTACGCAGATCTAGTATGTGTGTTTCCGCCCTATCTCCTGTTCTCCGTTGAGTTGTGGACCTAAAGCGGAGTCGCACATCCGACAGTCCTACTAATCCTAATTATATACGACTTGTATACACGAGGTAATGATAGATGGACCAAGTATGAATCCTATCAAGAACACCAAGGGCAAGTTGCCAGGTCTACGAGTGAGTATTCTGCAAATCAGAAGAGCGCAACCCCAGTAGTAATGCCAAAAGAGCTAATTTCGAGACGAAATTCATTCTAACGGGTGGATAATGTGACAACCCAAAAATTTCCATTCAGTGAAACCATCCACTTCAATAGAAGCCAAGCCTGTTGCTACTAACTTTCAATCTTTTGGGACAAGTTTGAGCAATTCAGGATAGAGGTTTCACTTGGATTTTGTGCAACTCTGTTAATCCAAAACTCTATGATATTAGAGTTCATTCCATGAATAAAATATTTTCTGCCAAAAATCCCAGGACTATATATAGGATTCTGAACCAAATTATTCATTAGTTACATTCCCAATTAGAGAAAAGCCAAATTCTCTCTCACGGATCTTCGGATTTTTATCCCAAATCGTGAGTACTTCAATCTAGTTGTATTATATAGCTTAGATTGTGCTTAATAATAGCAAAATCACGACAGAACATCAACATCTGTGAGTTTACTCCGCAAGAACATCTTGGAGAGTAAACTCCTTTTCAGTAGCCAAATGGAGCCTAGCCTTTCCTTAAGCCATGAAACTAGTTTGGACTTGTAAACAAATGAGTTTAGGAACAGAAAACAAACTCAAAACATTAAGATTTGAGAGTTTACTCCCCAAGAACATCTTGGAGAGTAAACTCCATTTTAGGGTCTCAAAATGCCCTAAATGCCACCCTTAAGCCAAGAGACTAGCATAACCTCTTACCTTGATGTGTCTAGCACCCAAAACAATTAAAATATAATCACCCACAAGTGTTTACAACCGCAAACACATGACCAAATGGTCTATGGGCTGAAAACTCATGTTATGGGAGTTTTGATGCCACAAACACTTCCAAGGGCTTAGGCATGAATTTAGAATGCTTCTTTATGACCCTCATAAGAATATTTGGCCATGAATTTACGGTTGTAAACTCATTTGGGCCGTGAACACCCTAAAAGTGCCAAAAGAAGTGGTCTTTCTCATCCTAGGTTAAAGCTAATGTCCCTAAATCACCGCCTAGACTTCAAACTTGCACTAACCCATGAGTAACCATGAGTTTATGGCCATAAACTCCCTTGGGCTGTGAAATCATGGTAGTAAAATCATTTAAGTGCCTTTATACCTTCCTATGTTGAATCACATGTGATTCCAACACTTGGTCAAGGTGTTTCCTAGTCCCGGAAGGTGTTTCCTAGTCCCAGAAGGTGTTTTCTTTCATATAGTTGTTATAAACACTATATTCATGTCAATATGTGTCCTTATATATATAATTTAGGACTTATTGTGTTTCGGGACTTCATTCGTGGAACTTCTCATCCTTACACGCATACCCGTTTGAATCACCCACATCAGGTGAGTTCATACCCTATAATGAATCTTTTAACTATTTTAATTGTTTTAGGGGGGAATACAAGTTGAACACAATGATAATTGTGTAAATGTTTGTTATAAACATCTTTCAAAATGTTACTTATGTTATTTATAAGTTGTTAAAACATTTGAAAACTCTTTTACAGGTTATGTTACTTTATAGTTATACAAAACTCCATTTTTAAAGTATAAGCATAAGTTTGTAGATAAATGAGTCTTTTCAGTAACAGTCCAGTTAGAGCATTAGTAAACTATTATAGGTATAGTTTAATAGAATGATATTCATTACTTCTAGTATAATGAAGCACACACAGAACATAACAGAACAGAACAAACAAGTGAAGAGAATCAAACAATACCAAAACAGAACATAAAAAAAGAGTAAATTTGCTATAGCATGACAACACGCAGACATGATCTAACTTTAATGTGAATTACACAGTTTGCATGGATTTGCTCGGGTTGCGTTTGGTTCCCTCAATCTCCATACATGAGAGCGGTTAGTAGGGGTTCCAACTTTCACATTATGACCGTTATAAAACAAATATGTTTTTAGGATAATAGTACCTCCGCATGTCATTATAAACGACATCAGGGTACTCATTTCTCCCATTATATTCATAAAGTGTCGATAACACTTGAAGGTTAATCTATTCTCTATTCGAGATAGGTTATAAATTAGGGAGAATGTACTTTACAGTTGACTAAGGAACCGTAGAGTCTTGGTAGAAGACTGCTTTCATAACAATCGAGTCTTGGTAGAAGGCTACTTTTAAAAGTTAGGACCATGATGCTAACTTTACGATTCCTTAATGCTAAGTAGATTCTGACAGCTAATAGGATGTGTGTTCTTCGTTGTACGTCCTGTTCCTGTTGGATGTGGGTTTACACCGAGGTCACTCAATCTATTATCTACCCGAATCTATATATATTTATGCTTAGTATACATTAAGTCATCATAAGGGTACCAGGTATGGATCAGGTTATAGAACACAGGGTCAATGCACAATTTTTTCTATTACAAAACTTTCAGTTCAAAGTCAATACTTTTGGTATACAAAACTAGCGATTTCCTAGTTAAGGGCTTAATCCATTTTATTAAGCCAGTACATTTTTAAAGACTTTAACTGAGTTAACTCTATAACACCTCAGTTTTACATCATGTTTATATATAAAACTAGTATCCGACAGCTAGTAGGATGTGTGCTTTTCGCTGTACGTCCTGTTCCCGTTGGATGTGGGTTTACACCGAGGTCACCCAATCTACTATCTACCCGATATCAAATTATATATAGCATTATAAACAAAGCTATAATAAAAGTAATCACCATAGTCAATGTTTTATTATAAGAAATATAGGTTTTCTTAAAAGGAACTCTCCATTAGATATAAAAGAACCATTACAAATAACTCCATGAGTAACAAGTGAATACACCATGGTTATATATGACAACGATCTAACAACCAATGGAATGTGTGCTATCCGCCTTACTTACTGTACCCCGTTGGGTTGTGAGTTAAGGGCATATGCACATAATCGATTGTTTGTTTACTCCAAGTATATATAACTTGTAACGACTTATTACGCAAAGAAAGGCTTGTAGTGTCATTTTACGCAACTCCCATTAAAGTAGGAAATATATGATTTTCTAGAGGAACAAGCAAACTTTACAAAATAGAACTTACAGCTTACATCACTTTACATATACATTTTCAACAACACTTTACAGCTTACTCACATCACTAAAATCTTATGAACTCACCAGCTTAATTGCTGATCAACTCTTTCAAATAACTTGTATTCTCAAGAGACTATTAGACAGGTGCTCGTGCTGGGACTTCAGAAGATGGAGCATTATAGCTTCAAGTCTTGTTTTGTTAATTGTTTATGACTTATATGTTTTGTGAACACATACATTGTAAACACTTTCTTTCTAAATGAAATGGTTGTTCATTACTTGCTTACCATATACATATCTCGTGATACTTGACATGACGTCCTCCACCTCCGAACGTTTCCGCCGTTCCGGTTTTGGGGTGTGACACAACTGTGCATTCAGAATAAAATATCTTACAAATACATAATACAAAATAAAATATCTTACAAATACATAATAAAATATCTTACAAATACATTAAAAGCATGAGATACAAATACAAAATAAAGTATCTTACAAATACACTTAAACATACACTAAATTGCAATTAGTTTTCATAAAACTTAGACATTAGAAAACATTTCATGTTTTCTTCTTCAGGTGACAAGTGCTCCTTTTGTAGGAGTGTGTTCAAATGCAAATTCTGCATCTTCATTAGCTCCATTTAATCTGTTTTTGCTCCCTTTGTTGATCCAAGTCGAGTCTTTTTTTCATGACTTCTACTTCACTATCTCTACTAAGCCTCATTGCACGAAGTTCTGCAACAACTTCATTAGAAGACTTACTTTTTTCTTTTCTTTTAGCAGCATCTCTACCCGTTAGACATTTAGTTGTTGAACGAGTAATATTTGCCCCTTTTGTGTTGGATTGGACACAATACTCCCCTTCTTCAGTAGACCTTGATCTTTTTGTGCTACCACCACTTTCTTCATCACCCACTTCTTATTCAGGACGTGATCGTGTTGCATCATGATCTAGCTGTAAATCCCATTTTCAATGTTTACACATAACCTCATTAAAAACAATTGTGTCATTGAACATGCTTCCACTTGTCTCATACAATTTATGAGCTTCGTTCTCAACATCTTTCATACTCATTCCACTTCTTCTGTTTCTATATGCTTCTTGGTAAACACCAACCCATTTGACGACACTTTCTTTAAGTCATTTATAACGACCTTTCATTTGAGCTATGTTCCTGTTACCAATCTTTCCTGGGCTTTTCGTCTGATTTGCATCATATAGCTCCTTCATTTGTGCCCATATTGATGTTTTCTTTTGGTTAACGATATAATATGCTAACATTAAAGAGATATCTTCATCAGCATTCCATTTATCATCTCTTGGATGTTTTCCAGTATTTTGTGAGGTTTGAACATTTTCAGTGATGGGAAATTGATTGGGATTTGCAAAAAACTGTGAGGTTTCATAACTTTGAAAGTTTTGATAATATTGAGAATCATCAAGATTTAAGACGAAATTTGGATTCATCTTATTAAAGAAATCAAAAGGGTTTAGAAACGAAAAGTTGAGATGACATATGAAGTATATCAATATTATACTCTATTTATAGAGAAAAAAATTTAGTATTTTTAAAATTTGTTTTTGATTGAGATAATATTAGATTTTTAGTAGATAATGTTTTTTTATCCAAAAAATATATAATGTTATCTAAAAAAATGTGGGTGTATGTTTCTTGCTTCAACACATGTAAAGTAGATTGGTGTGAGCTCTTGTGAACTTGGGTTGGAATGCCGGCCTAGTTCACCAAATTGACTAAATTTTTTTTATTTAATATAGTGTGAGCGCTCGCCAAATAGACCCCAATGGGGTAGTATTAGAGCCGAAACCCTCTTAGGAGCCTAACCCTCTTAGGAGCCGAAGCCACTTAGAGCCGAAGCTGTTAGAACCGAGGATGTCAGAACCGAGGTTGTTAGAACCGAAGCTCGCACCTTCAGTCCCTCCTCCCCCACCTTCGGTCCACCTTCGGTCCACCTTCGGTCATAACATCTTAGGAGCCGAACCTCAGAGGTTCGCTCCTAAGTGTCCGGTTTTTGACTACTTTCGCCTGTTAAGCCTAATTTTGACGTTTTAACAGGATTTTTTTTCACCAAATTCATATTTTTATCATTTTAAACTCCCAAAAATCATATTTTAATCATTTTCCAAGGAATATTTAAATATAAATTCATTTATTCATATAAGGGAACATCTAAAGATATTTTACCCCACAAGTGGGTCAAGTGTGCCCACTTGCCTCCATGTGTCACTTCCTCATTGGTCCAACGCTATTCACATCACACAAACCTAGGTAAACATCCCATCATCTTGCAAGTTGCTCCAACAATCTCTCACACAAAGAAATCCCTGGAGGATTCTTGGTTGACTTGGTCATTTCCTTCATCACCAAAACTCTTACACTCCTTTTTTTTCTCTCAAGAAAGCTCATTTTTCACTCTATTTCGAGCCACTTTTTGAAGGTGTTCTTGAGCTATTACTTCATCACTTGGTAAGTATATCATCCAAACTCCAGAGTTCTTCCAAATTTTCATAACATCCTTGAATCATCTATACAGATTTTAACATCAAAAAGTTGTTCTTAGGATCATCCAACTGTCAAGTGTTCATCAAGTGTTCTTGACTAAGAAACTTCTTTTTCTTCAACATCCACCCTCTGAAATCAATCAAGGTGAGTTCATACCCCTAATTTTTCATGTTTTCTTCAAGTTTTAGGGGAGGGGGGTGGAAATACAAGTTAAAACACCAACAACTTAGCTAAACTCAAACATCAGCTTTCAACAGAAAAGTTGAGTTCTATTCACGGATTGTTTTGACCAAATTAAACTCAATATTTTTCAAAACTGTACTAGATGGGAATAGTCAATGTTTATACCTTTAAAATGACTACTTGCGCATCTTTATATGATTTTTATACAATTTATGGTAATTTTTACAAAACTGCCTATCACTGTAGCTACGAATTCGGACTAGTCTGTAAATATGAGAATTTTCACACAAGTTAGAGGTTACTAAAAATCATAATAAAAATTATGAAAAAACTACACACAATTTCTAAACTCTCAAAATTTATGGAATCAATTTTAGACTCCTTATGATTTTTCTATAAATATTCCAAAAACAGGAACAAAAAAGATAAAACTAGCAAATTGTTAATAACTCATTTACACCTTGTAACTTGTTGAGCAAGGTGTGTATTATCATATATAATTACATGTTGTTTATATTACACGTCTTTTACCCCATTATATAGGTTTACATCATATACAAAGAGGATTTATACCATTACAAAATGTTTTTGATAAGCTATAATATAGGTGTAGTTTATGTTTCCATTTACACAACAAACACACTCCGGAAGGTTTTACTCCCATAGAAAAATGTTTTACACTCACGCACACTACATGTAAACTTGTTAACGTAAATTGTGAGACATTCTTCATAGTACTCATAGAGTACGGCTTAAAATTCCTGACAGTTATAACCAGAGTCTCTTGTAGGGAGAACATGATAGTTTGTGTATAGATCTATATTGGGATTGACACCCACACCTGAGTTGCTTGCAACAGCTAGACCGGTAGGTCTAAGGTGACAAATTTCATATCTTTACGACTCTTGAAAAACGTCGTCTTAGGTTTACTTAGTCATAGTATGGTTATCGCAACTCATATAGGGAGTTAACAACACATAAAGTTTACGGGGTTTTATAAATCAAAAAGGGTTTTATATCGATTTAAAGCCACTTTTATAACAATAAGTATGGATTTTACTTGTACACTTTCGGTCTTTGAACTTGAGACCACATAACACAAAACTCACACGTACTTTCAGTCTTGGGATTTAAGACTACATATCACTTTCTTAAGGAAAAATTGGATTTTTCTTAGTAACACACAACCAATTAAAAATATCGGTTTTTCAAACTCTTCATCTAAAAAGCTTATGAACTCACAAACTTAATTGTTGACACTTTTTCAAAACTACTTGTATTCTCAATAAATCAGTGAAACCAGGTAACTACAAGCTTTTGTGGATGGAATGCTACGACATTGAACAACTATTTTTACATAATGTTGTAATTAATCATTGAAATATGTAACACTTGAAACCATGTAATTCTTTTTTGATTATATTTATGATTGGTGGTATTGCTTTGATCATTATTATACTCGGTTTTATGATATTATACATGAAGTACGCCACCCTAGACGTTTCCGCCATCCTTGGTTTGGGGGTGTGACTGATTGATATCAGAGCATTGTTTATAGTGAACTAAGTATATCGAACCAGATAAGATATACAACTATAAATACATTGGGATTAAAAGTCTCTGATTTAAAATTTTCAAAACAATTATACTTTTAGAAATGAAATAGTTTCTTGTTAAAAGTATGAGTACATACATACATACTATTATAGTATCATATCTAGGACAATACAAAAGTAAAACGAGGAGTTGGACACTACGAGTAGACCTAGGGATATGTAATCAGACTTGGGATGAATATAGCCTTATATTTATCCGAGGTATGACTATTGTATGCCGTGGAATGGTCGTATTGAGCAACAAGCCTAAAAACTTCTCATACAAGAAAGTTACTAAGAACCAAACATAACATTTAAAATAATATAGAAGTATTTTGTAATATGATAACTTATGTGAAAACTAAACAGATCCTTATTAATAGCTCCATAGTCACTAAGTGGATACTTTAAGGTTATATATAACTTAGAGATCATAGACTTAGAATCTGTGGTCATTGCCTTACTTCCTTTTCCTTGTTTGGATGTGGACCTACGGTAGGACCACTTAATCGAAGGTCTATCATATCTTTGGTATATGTAATTAGTATGCACTATGTCATTATAGAAGTAACTAATGAGGATAAAACCCCTATAAGTATTTCTAGGAATACGACAAATATATGCTTCCTACCCCTCCTTTTCTCGCACGTATAGCATGACAAGATTCTACTTACCAGGTGACCCCTGCTTTCCGAACCAGGGAAATAGTGGATGGTTAAGAGAAGAACCTGAAGAAGACCTTAATGAAAAACCCGAGGAAAAGGAGGAAGAGGAATCTGAATAGGAAGAAATTGAATTAATGATGGGTGAAAATGAAGACGAGGCAGAATTAGAAGAGGAACCGGAGGTGATCAACCCTCCATACATAGCCAGGGTTCCCACGAACCGTTTCGACTACATCGAACCTGTGCCTCGTTGGGCAACCGTGATCGAGGGTTGGAGTCGAAAGCAATGACAACAATCACCATTTGGAAACCAACGACGTTGCTATGACCTCAACCACGGGGGACCGACTGACAGAGCCCTCTCAGCGAAGACCCGACAGATCGCGAACATTGGGGATTAAAACAGGGAGACTGCAAATCGAGTTCCGAAACTGCACGCTGCTACAGACCCTACCATCTCATGTACCTGAGACTTGGAAAGAGACTGCTATTTCAGAGACCAAATTGATAAGGACCTTATCACCGTCTGGGTGGAGGCAAAAGAGTATTAGGGTAGACACACGACACTCGAAGAGAGAATGGTTGCAACCAAGCATCGATTGGCAGAGCTGCAAGGTGCATCAACCTTGTCTCAAGCATCGCAAGGGACGGATCGTCGTGAGTAGAGTTCATACTGCTCACAAGACCTGGTCGATTAGGTTCATGAGTATGCGTTGGTGCTACTCTATTCTTTGTGTAAGCTCAACTCTACGATTTGAGTGGTCATACTAATCGGGGGATTTATTTGCTGTCAAAACTTTTCCTTACAATGATGTGGTGTAGATCTGCATCGAGGTCTAAATTTTCTCTGGAAACATAATTACTAGAATCATATTAACAAAAAACGGACTTACAACAGACCCAATAGACTCGAAGATCTATTAAGTCTTAATTACATAACTAAGCATACATCAAATGGTCATAAGAAGGACCAAGCTTTGATCAAATTACAAGGTTTCACTTGGATACAAAACTACTAAAAATTCATATGTTTATTATATATAGACTTTCATTATGAATTGGTTTCAGAACACCATAAACACCGGAATATGATACAATTTGAACTAAGATAAAATTAGTTAGAAAACTCACGACGTATAGCCATTGTAAAGACTCATTATCGCCTCACCTTTAAACATTTTGGTTGAAAGGTTCCTTCTTCGTAGATGAATAGGGTGCGACCATACTAGCATTAATGCACCGGATCCCATCAGAACCCCTTAGCTAAGTGTGTCTAGGCAAAGATAGTAACTAGGATGGGAAAGTATAACATTCATACCAAACCTACCTTTACCCATTTCCGAAACTCCATATTAGGAGTGTTTAGCAGAACCACTAAGGATAGTACAACAATGTGCGAAATTTATATACGTGAATATAAATTGTAAGAATGCACTGGAGGTAATCAACCCCACTCACGAAGTCGTTTTTTTTATTATCATGAAATAGAATTATGTCTTCACC